TGAGGATTAAATGAGATAATACATGGAAAGCATTAGGCCTGTAGCACACTTAGCACATAGTGGTTGGTTCCCACTGCTTTTCCACCAGTCTGTGGCCTACAGTTTAAATGGTGAAGGAGGGTATGAGATTTGAGGCTGAGGAAGGAAGCATGGGGTTCTAGGAAAGGGAGACAGTCACTTAGGCCTGGAGTGAGGGGCCAGAGGCCTGGGCAGACGACAAAGACCCACAGTGCCCTCGCTACCCTATTAATGGGCCTAGAATCTGGAAGCCAGCCGCCACGTGCCCTCACACCCAGGATCTTCCTGCAGGTGGAGCTGAAGAGCCAAAAGGCTCAGAGTCTGCAGCAGCAGCCAGACCATTATCTGGGTCACCTGCAGCAGTCCGTGGCCATCTATCAGCAGCAGGTGGCCGCCTATCAGCAGCTGACCTCTGAGAAGGAGGCGCTGCACAGGCAGTTACTGCAGCAGACCCAGCTAATGAACCAGCTGCAGCAGCAGGAAGCTTGGGGCAAAGCGGTGGCCGAGATGGCCCGCCAAAAGTTACAGGAGACCCAGGGGAGGGAGCTGCTGAAGACGGGGCTGTGAGGGGGCTGACCTGGTAAACTCCGTGCCTTCTCACTCTTTCCTGGCCCCTTAGGAGCACCTGCAGGCTTCCAGCCACCAGAATCAGCAGCTGCAGGACCAACTGAGTCTCATGGCTCTCCCTGGTGAAGGTACCGGAGACTGCTCAGAGGAAGAGGAGAGAGCCCCAGGAGGAAGGGGGGACTGTTAGCAGCACAGGATTGAGGAGTTAGAAGAGACCTTTAGAACAGCTGGTCATTATGCCAACCGGGTACCTGCACTAAGTTCGGCATCAATATGGTGACCTCTGGGAGTGGGGGGCCACCAAGTTGCCTAAGGATGGCTGAACTGGCCCATGTCAGAAACAGAGCAGGTCAGAACTCCTGCACCGACCGGTAGTGGGACTGTGCCTGGGCAGTATAGCAAAATCTTGGTTCTTAAAAGGAAAAATAAAGAACAGTAGCTTATTCTTCTCTGGGGAGGGGCTGGCTCAGGGTTACATAGTGAGGGTGGAGGCAGAGTTGGGCCCACAGTACCTGCCTTGTTGGGTTGTCTGAGGACACCTCTGGCCACCCCCCACAGGAGAGGGAGAAGAACATCCGGACAGTGAGGAGGAGGAGGCACCTCAGCCCATGCCGAGCCTCCCAGAGGACCTGGAGAGCTGGGAGGCCGTGGTGAGCCTGACTCCCTCTGCACCGATTTTGCCACCTTCCTCTGTGGTCCCTCCAAGACCCCTTTATGCTCTTACTTTCCCTGCCTTCTGATTTCTCTGCACCCTCACCCCTTCCGAGAGCCAGTGGTCAGACCCCATTTCACCTGTGACGAACTGAGGTCCCAAGGGAAGGGGCCGCGCTCCACCCCTCTGCCCCGTTTCTTCTGTGTATGCCCCTACAAGAATGCTCACGTCTTGCCCTCAGGTGGCATTTTTCAAATCCGCTGGAGCCAGTGCC